AGACACCTTTGATATAACACGTGCTTAAAACTAGGTTGCAGGTGTTCAAAATGGGTTGCTACAGATGAGTCAATCTCACATAAACTCCCTGCTCATGTTGATAGTGACATCCAGATGCTGAATGGGGCAAGTATTGTCCCTCCATCCCTCTCTCTCCCGTCCTCTCTGCCTCATCGCCTTCCTATTAGCCTGCTCATATTCCACATCAAAGGCACAGATGCCAATAACCTCACTCTGCTCCCTAAATGCTAAATTATTATTATTAAAGTGTGATTGACGGGCCTGCTTATTAATTATAATCTTGTGCACATATGCAGGGTGATGGCAGGAGTGGAAGCGGCTTTGTGTGCCAAGGCACCTCCACACAGAAGCTAATTTGCTCTGACACACTATCAAAGAATGCTCGTCAGAACTCCCATGGTGGCTCCTATGGGCCACACTCACGTTTTAAGGGGCACATGGTGCAAGGGAGGGAGAGCATCACATCGCACACATGGATTTTACACACAACAGACAGAAGCAAAAAAAAAAAATTGAAGATGGAATGCTTTGTCAGATAGCACTTTTTTTTTGCTCTTTAAAACACGTGAAAACATAAACCTATTCAAAAGAAAAATGGACAAAAATCATTTCTTGTCAAAATGTGAAAACACTTTTTTTTTTTTTTACTTTATCTTGGATTACATTTACTTTTCTTAGTATATTTGACAATATATTGCAAATGAAAAATTATTAATAGTAAAAAAAAGTTAGATTTTTTATTAAATCAGTTTTCTTTTTGGTAGTAAAAAAAAACTTAAACTTAAACTAAAACTTAAACTTAAATAAATAAATAAATAAATAAATACATTTCCCTGCCCTTACTATTTTAATTTTCCTCATTCTTTTCTTCTTCATCTTTTATTTTTCTGACCACATATTGCCTGCTCCTTTGCCAAGTGATGAGACTGGAAGTATGGAGTGTTTATCACTAGCACAGAGGATCAAGACAGTTTGAAAACAGAGAGAAGGCAATGACTCACTAATGCAATTTGTAAAGATGCGTTGTAATACACTTAAGACACCCACATAAACTTTACCTGCTGGACTTTTATAGCTGTAAGGAATCAGAGATGCTGTTAGTGTGAGATAAATGTCAGAGCAATTCATATTGTCTCCATTAGGAAAGAAGACGAGGAAGGGACACTTTTTTGAGGGGATGGGAAAGGAACTCAAACCTTCAGTGTGTCCTGCAAATGCATTTTTTTAGCAACATTTAAAAAAGTGCCTTTTTTATATAATATTTGCATGTTACATGCAAACAAATAATGAGTAAAATAAAATAAAAATAAATAAATAAATACTGATTTATATTTACTGATTTGTGTGGTAAAATAGCCAACAAAAGTGGTTTTGTTATGCACTACCTATATTTACTATTCAACGGATGTACAGGTGTTCTACTATCTGACCATAAGGGGGCACTGAAACATCATGCATGTCAATGGACAGGTAAACAATTCCTCTCTATAGTGTTAGTCACAAACTCACTTATGATCCATTTCTCATCATGGTCTGAGACTTAACACACAATTAAGGAAGTAGTATCACACATCACCATGGATGTATATGATAAACTTCATCCCATTAATGACTCCTAAACCACCAATGTTATTATCATGTGAGGCTACCGATGGACATTTAATACCCATAGGTTATACAGCCATATTGTATGTAACTGTTATGACGAAGGAGGACAACCGCAAAATCATTAAATCAAACCTCGCACAAATGGACACACACAGAGACACTTTAAAACACAGCTTGCACTCAGACGCATAGCTAAAATGTCAGAGATGAGTAGCTAGAATATAAAAAGCGGCTCGCAGGGTGGCAGGACCCACAGATGTGATGGGCACTGAATGAATCTTTTAATGGGCGAAAAAGACTTAGGAGATTAAATGGAGGCCCTCTGATGCAACTCAATTCAATTTGTCAGTATGCCTATGTATGAACACAAAAGAAGATATTTTGAAGAACCAAATAATGTTGGTTCCCATTGACTTCCATTGTTTTTTTTTTTTTTTTTTTTTTTCATGAGGACAAATGTGTGTCCCGTTTGTTTTATAGATATGTAAGTGTTTATTGTATGTTTTTTATGTCAGTGTCAAATATGAATTTCTGTCCAGGAAAAGCGTACAGACAAAGTAAAGTAAATATCTGACATTGAATGTTTTCTGTTTATATGGAACACATTGCTAAGAAACATTTATTGTATACATACAAATGTGCATATTCTTTTTTCAGTGTACTACAGTATTGTCTCCCCCATTAGGATAGAAGACGAGAAAATTACTGTTGAGAAAAAGCTAAGTGAGATGCACGAAAGTATTCAGCTAGACAAAGACAGCTAGAATTCCTATGATCATTCTGTGTGTCTATGGAAATATCCCGACGTGATATGTATGTCTGAAATAAAGCAATGATTTGAAATCTTACAGCTGTGAATAAAAAACATGAATGGAACTTTTTGTGTTCAGAATGTGTTGATGAATGAAGACAGAGAGACATATAGATAGACAGATAGACAGATAGATAGATAGATAGATAGATAATTTCTCTATACAACCAAATGTATAAATGTATACAATTGTGATTGAGCATTGAGAAAAGGAGTGAAAAGTGTATTTAGTTACAGTGTGTACGTGGCCAGAGAGAGGCGAGGAGGAGGAATTGTGTTGTGGGAGAGAAAGGGTAAAAAATGCAAGAAAAAAGTAAGAATTAAATGTTAGGGGGGAAAGGAGGAAATGTGGGATGAAACAAGGAACAGGAAAGATGGATGAGACAAGTGGGGAAAGAAAGGAAGAGAAAGAGAGAGAGATTTGCATGCCTGAATCAGCACCGCTTACACATCTGGTCATATCCCATAGTGATGACATCCAAGTTTAACATTACAACATTTATAATGTTTGCATTAAAATTCTTATTAAAATGCTTATGATTTAATTATGAGGCTGAGTTGATAAAACATAGATGAGGCCTGGGTTGGTGAAAATCCCACTCAGATCTGTATCCCCACTTTTCATATATTCAATTAGCTAACAAGGCTGAATAGGGCCAAGAACGAGAGCAGGTTTGATGGATCAGCCAACTTTTTCCCAGCAGGCTAAGCTTACGCAGGGATTTTTTTATTTTTCTCTTCCCTTTATTCTGAAAGAATTGTGAAAAAAGTTATGAGGGTGCTGTAAAGAGACTTAATTTCATTAAGATGTCTTTTGTTTGAAGGTTACATATAGATTAAAGACATGTCTTTTTAGCCATGCATACACATAACGCATCCCATAACTTCTGCTCCAGTACATGTGATCAAATATACATCATTATCTTGTGCATGCAAATATTATGAACAGTAGTTACGCAGTGCATATTAAATACAAACTATTGTTAACTAACTACACAATTGCATTATCTGCTTGATACCTGTACAGTCTATTATATAGACATGACCTTTTTTATTGTAATGTAGGAACATGCACCTTCTGTAAAGCTACTTTGAAACAATAATTCTGAAAAACACTATTCAAATAAATGTGAATTGAATTGAATTGAAAACACAGCTTCCAACTACTGTACTCTTTAACAACTAATTGTTCAGTTCTGTAAACACTGTGGATGTATTTAAAAAAAAAAATTTTTTTTTGTGGTTGACTTCCTACCTGAAATTTTGATTAATTCAGTTGTAATGTGGTTTTTCATTTGGTGCACTCTTTATCTGCAAAATACAACTTTGCATCTGGTAGACTACACAAAATTCAACCATTGACGTGAATTGATTGACTACCATAGCATTCAAACAGCTAGGTATCTTTTTTAATTAAAACTAAAATATGTTAAGGTTAGTTTTAGGGGTGTGGGGTTAGGCTGTGGAAAAATGCATTGACTTCAGTATTGTGAGTATTTGTGAGTACTGTGAGTGTGACTTTATTTTAGCACAAACTGGGTGAATTCCAAACCACAGTTTTGAACCCTTTGTAGGGACATTCCAAATGAAACTGAATAACTGAATCCCTTCATGAAGGTCCCTTCCACATATATTTATTTATATGAGAACAGGAAACAACTGCAAACAATATATATATATATATATATATATATATATATA